TTAAATGTGGAAGCTTTTCTCAAAGAATAAGGAAGTTTACCTTTATCGTCCATGTTATCTGCTCGATCATCTTAAAATCTTTGATATTGAATGGCAACCCCGCATTATGATGGTCCTATGTCACCATATATGTCATCAAAACGACATTTATAGATTGACACACTGAAGATGTCAACACCCTCACAACGTAGACGCCGAACCTTAGTTACACCGGAACTACCTTACGCGCGTCAGCAACTTTTGTCACAAGTGTGGTGATGTTTGAGGCGCGTCAAAGGGACGTAATGCGGTAGGCTGCCATTGTGTATGGGAAATAGCGCGTGACGTCAGCTGTTTTCTTTGTGCCGTTCTAGATATTGTCCTGACATGACGGTTTAAGCGGGGAATTTGAAATTTGGAAAAGACATAAATTATTTTTTGCGAATTCTCATTATGGAAATATCAAATTAAGCAATAAATGCTAGCGCGCACCATTCAGTTTGTCTGTGACACATGTGGCAGTTATACCAGTTGGTCTGCCACATCTATGCAGTTTATTGCTTAAATGTTCCGTGAGCTACTATCATTTGTTGTAAAGGGGTTACATCAGCTGCTATCAATTTTCTTTCCCAATGTTCCGTGAGCTATGTATTACTATTTATCTTTTAATGATCCACTGTCTGTTATCCTCAAGGGTTCCCCTGTAATACTATCATTTATCTCCCAAGGTTTCATGAGCTATGATAATTTATCTCCCAAGGTTTCATGAGCTACTATTATTGATCTTCCATGACTTACTATTATTTATCTTGCACTGTTCCATGAGCTACTATCATTTATCGTTCATCGGTTCCGTGAGTTACTATCAGTTATCTTCAAATGTTTCGTGATCTACTATTTTTTATTTTCTATGGGTTCTTTAAGCTATTGTTAATTTTCTTCTTTGTAAGTACGTTGCTATCAAGTCCCTCTTTGGGAGTGCGTAACTATCAAACTTCACATGAACTTTATACTAACACATAGTTCGGCGCAAGGAATGAAGCGGCCCAACTTTACAAACTAACACTTGTTGGTAATATATTAAATATTTGTCATCGGTCAGCCCTGCCTGGTTGTCTTATATTCTGTTTAAACTTCCACTGAACCTGATACTAAGTTCCCATGAGTATATATATGATCAGATACAGTATAAAAAACTAAAGTACGAAGCATAGCCCTTACTTATTGTCTTTATCTTATAATTTTGTCTTTGACCGCGACAGATTAGGCCGAAAGAGATGCTGTGTATTGTTCCATGCCGTGACGGGGGTGGCCCTGATTTTGTCTGTTGTCTTACTGCAGATTGCAGGTAACCATTGCTAACATGAATATAATCTTACTCAGCTAAAGCACTTATCCGTCGATTGCCAGAAGTGGATGGGGTGAGTTTCTCTCACATCTGCGGATTAAAGATAAGCGTGTCCCAAGTGTGATTCGTGTTTCTCCCCATTAGACAGAGATGTCCATTCTTACGGTCAGGGAAATTTGTTTTATCATACTCTAGAGTAAGACCGGAGGAAACCCTTTCGTTACTGTATGAAAAAAAATAACGTTGCATTGACGTGAAGTCAAAATAAATGATAACGGAAATTAAACCTGATTTGCTGGAAATTATGCAATCAACGTTAGCGTTTCAGGAAAAAGTCCCAACGCACCGGAACCTTGTTTTCCGGATTGTCTCAGGACAAACACACACATAACACACCTCGTTATACAAAATGTGTTTATTACAACATGTACAAAGAACACACCAGAACCTTGTTACATTGTACCTAGACTGTGTAATACATCACACGTACACAAAATGCACCAGAACTTCATTACCCGGAATGTGTTTATTACAACACGTATAACCAACACACCAGAACCTTGTTCCCTAGACTGTGTAATACATCACACGTACACAAAATGCACCAGAACTTCATTCTCCGGAATGTGTTTATTACAACACGTAAAAACACCACACAAGAACCTTGTTACCTAGACTGTGTAATACACCACACGTACACAAAATGCACCAGAACTTCAATATCCGGAATGTGTTTATTACAACACATATAAACACCACACCAGAACCTTGTTACCTAGACTGTGTAATACATCACACGTACACGAAACGCACCAGAACCTCGTTATCCGGATGTGTTTATTACAACACGTACAAATACATCACACAGTCTCAAATACAGTAATAATCATAATAAAACCACACCAGAAACTTGTTAACTCAAAATACATTGATGATCAAAACAAAAACATACAAGAACCTCATTATCTTAAATACAGTAATAATTATACCTACCAGAACTTAGTCATATGTACTGAGTTATTAATTACAAATAATCATTGCAAAAACATACATACTGTACCAGAACCTCGTTATCTCAAATACATTAATAATCATAACAAATACATACCAGACTCTCGTTATCTCAAATACAGTAATAATCAATACAAATACATATCAGAACCTCGTTATCTCGAATACATTAATAATCATAACAAATACATACCAAAACCTCGTTATTTCAAATAGAGTAATGATCATAACAAATACATACCAGAACCTCGTTATCTCAAATACATTAATAATCATAACAAATACATATCAGAACCTCGTTATCTCAAATACATAATTAATCATAACAAATACATACCAGAACCTCGTTATCTCAAATACAGTAATAATCATAACAAATACATACCAGAACCTCGTTATCTCAAATACGTTAATAATCATAACAAATACATACAATAACCTCGTTATCTCAAATACAGTTATAATCAGACCAAATACGTACCAGAACCTCGTTATCTTAAATACATTGATAATAATAATAATAATTTATTACATCAAATGCATACCAGAACTTATTATCTGTTCTACGTTTATAGATATAACAAATACATACCGAAACTTCGTTTTCTGGACTATGTTAATTGTAACAAAAATACGCTTTTTCATACAATTAATGTTTTATTTCTTCGGAAATTTCGATACTAAGTTCAGTTCAAGACAGTGAACTGTACAAGGTACATGTACGAGTATGTAAATGAAATTGATAATATGTTTCAGGGGACAATGCAAATAGTTCTCTTTCGATTCTCTCTACGGTGCTGAACTACGTGGGGAAACTTGGAATAGCAGCCTCATTCGCCCTGCTGTTTCTCTACACTCCCGAACTGTACCCGACTAATCTTAGGTAAGCAAGCAGGGCTCCTCTTCCAACTCTTTTATATAAACATGTACCACTAAGTTAATAAGATCACATTGCCCATGGGACTAGAAGACTGTCGGCATAAACACATGTACAGTGTATGTTCCGTTTCTATTCCATCTGGCCCGAAGGACCGAGAAAGCTGATGCCGTAGTGCGGCGTCCATAGTTCGTCCTTCCGTCCGGCGTCAACTTTGTTCTTTAACTGACTTCTTTTCAACACCCAAAAGGCCCAGTATGCTGATATTTGGTCAGTTGCACAATGAGATTTAAGGCTACCAGGTTTGTAAAACAAGAATGACCTTGACCATTCTGTAACAAGAAAATGCAGCAAAGTTGCTGAACAACGAATCTTCATGACAACTTATCGTTCAGCCGAGTATTTTGTTTACGCTCAATAACCTCACATCTTGCACTATTGCCGCTCAAAAATTATTCCATCTGTTTGGTAGCATTTCATAATGATACACATTTGTTAATTTGTGTCATGTTAGCCTATTATCTTGCACGATATTTTGTATGTCCCGGCCTGGGGACAGAACCCATTGCCTTCCTCACCTGAGCGAACGCTCAACAGTCGAGCTAAACATGATGTGTTGCCAAGCAAGGCGCTAGGGAAAAAATGTAAAAGTAGAAAGAAAGTATACAGACTTTAAGGTCACTTCAGAACAGGTTATTGAAGGGTAGGTACAACCATCTGCGATCACAGGGGCCTGGTGATTACTAAATAAGTAGGACCCCTCTGGTGTTAAGGTTCCTGTGGCTGCTTTTACATTATTTTACTATAACCTTAGATACAAAGAGTAATACTTCAACGTATATCCATACGAGTGACATACATGATATTCAACGGGAAAACTACTGAATTTTCCATTCATTACATTTTAAAGAAGTAACGCGGCGCATATACTGCTACACCAGAAAAGTGCAGGAATGTGTAGCGTTATGTTTCACGTAATCTAGTTCTAATGACGTCACGCTTTCGCTTGACGACAAAGCAGGGTGCCATTTTGAATGGGTCACTCCACGCTACTCTGCCGTTTGCTGCTTTTATCTGGTAATTAAGGTTTACACACAGAAATTATAACAATTTTGTAGTTATGGAAATAATATAATCTATGTTGTAGAGGCGCATAAAAACAAACGCTTATTCTACCGTCGCTTCATCTGAACTTGGAACTGAAAATGTTCGTAGTGAATAGAAAGTAGCGTTCTTATTGGACAATATCAAAAGTCATATATTCACATGTGAAGATTAAACATTTTGTATATCTTCAATTAGGTAATTTCTGATGTTTCACTGGTAAAATGTTATAAATACGGATAACGTATGGGTATAACTATCAACGTATTATTGTCTGTAGACCGGATATGGCCTTAATTTCAAAGAAGAATTTCAGGCATGGGTAAGCACCGGAAGTGGACAAAGTGTGTACTGAGTGAAAACAATTTCTTCTTAATAACCAAAAGGCCTAGGATGATGCAATATGGCCAGTAGCAAGCTTAGCTGTTGTTCAAATGAATGGCAGTAATAGACGTTCAAGGTAACAGTGATTAACTATGTTAACATTTTAAACAACTCCTACTCAATACTCCAAATGCCAAGGGTGATGATATTGTCAGTTTTCATGTAAGATAAATGACTGATTTTTTTTTGTTTAAAAATAATGACCTTGACCAATTTTCAAGATCACAGGGGTCAAATATTTGAGTAACCTTCAACACATATTCTTCTAAATATCCAAAATTCGATGGGTGATTATGTTTGGGATGAAGCGCTACAAACTTGCTTAATTAATGACTTTGACCCACATTCAAGGACATTGAGGTCAATTGTCTTTTAAACAACCTCTCAATACCCAAAACGCCCAGGGTGATGATATCTGGCCAGAAGCATGCTATGATGAAGGGATTCAAATGAATGACCTTGACCGACTCTCTAGGTATGAGATTAATATGTAAGATGAGTGATGCATGCTCATTGGGCCTCATGTTATGACTTTAGAACGAACTTTACTATTGTATTACTATTTAAAGATGTTTCATTATAAATGGCTTCAAGACAGTATAATTTATTAAAATGCATTTCGTTGTCCTCCATTTACAATACACAAGTAAGTTGCTTCGTTGATGCAGTTCCACTTCAGAACAATTTAGTACAATGTAAAGGTCTACATGTATTGAATACTTTGGTATGTTTCAACCCTAGCATAAACAACTTTAAAAAATATGTTTGTTTGTTTATTTGGTTTGGTGTTCTGAATACCAACTGTCGACTACGGTGCATTTACGTGTTCAGGTCTTATTTACCTGTTAGTGGTGACTATTTCACTAGGTACCAATTGTTCCATATATTGCTGTACAATTTCCTTTTGGATTTCAAATAATTGACATAGGTTTTCACAAAAGTGAACTGCTAATAAGACACACTACACAAATGTCGTAAAATCAATACTGGACAAGATTATTAGTGCAAATTGGACTTTTCTTTTACAGGAAAAAAAAAACATTAACACTAAAAACAATTTTGTTTACTTTTCCTGCATTTGAGTTTTGATTGATCGACGTAGTGCTGAACAATTTTCTTTTTTTTTATTGCAAATATTTTGTACATTTTTATAACATTAAATGGAAGCCTTCCTACTCTAGATATCAATTAAATTGAAACATATAACTTCATACTATTTTATTCAAATGTCACTTTGCAATCAATTTCAAATACGCTGTACAGCCAGTGCTACAAAAGCTGACCTTTATTTTATTCCTATTTTGATTTATCTATACCCCAGTATCCACTGTGTTTGGTCATAAATGCATCACTATTAGAAAGATAGGCATTGTGATATCACTTTTGCACTAAGGCACATGGGGGACTTGTCGCTCATCTCAATAATCCTTAATGCTTCCCTATCAAGTGCAGAAGAACAGGTTTCTATTTCAATTACACTTTTAAAGGAAATTATCTTCAATTCAAAAGTGCAATGGCATGGACCTGTGTGCTAAAGCCTGTGACGGCTTCGGTCTTAGCATCAAGAAGACTAACGTTATCCACCAACAAGCTCCTGAACCCCATTAAATAGAGTCAAACAATTACCAATCATTGGCCACGAGCTTGCAGTGTCAGACATAATTGTCTTTCTTTGTAGGACACTGTTACGATCGGTCACCATCGACGAAGAAGCCGCATACATGATTGCCAGGGCCAACGCGGCGTTCGGTAAACTCCATGACAGGGTCTGGGACAGAAAGGGAATAAACCCTGCAGACCAACCTCAATGTTATCGTGCAATCGTACTACCATCCAGTGAAACATGAGTAGTTTACAGCCGGCACGCCAAGCTGCTGAAATGTCTCTATGATGCCCCAGAAGCTGCTGCACATTGAGTGACAGGACAACGTGGCAGACACTAGGGTACTCTAGATGGTTTCTAACGCAATACGCACGTGTTCTAAACTCAGGTGGGCAAGTCATGTATGCCGTAAGACTATCAACCGCCTCCCACAGAGGCTACTGTACGGCAAGCTGTCAAAAGGCAAATGCTCCCGTGGAGGACAAAAGTAGCGCTACATGACACTCTGTTGTCTCTGAAATATTGGAGCATCGCCCCCGACATCTTGTCAGCAACTGTACAATATCGCTCTGCCTGATCAATTATAATCACACCAGGGGTGTACGGCTTTAAAACAAAGCGTACTGAGGCACTGGAGCAGAAACACCAACAGCGGAAAAGTAGAGTGAGCTCCGCCTCTCAGTCAGGCTCAGCTCAAAGTTTCACCTGTTCATGCTTGGACTGATCAGTCAGCATCGCAGCCACACCTCTACCAAATAATAGCCGGACTCGTGGTCATCATCACCAGTGAGGGACGAACATCATCATCACATGTGGCGAAACTAGACTGGGTCAATCGCTAGCGAGCAGCTAGCTCAACTGGTAAAGCAAGATATTTTACTTCCAAAATTAGCATCTTGGATACAGACCTATGAACTGGCGAATAACTGCCCCGAAGACATCATTTTTTCCAACAATTTTGTCTTTCACCGCTTGAATTTGTTGACCAAAAATCAGTTTCGTCAAATAGAAGTCCATTCATAAGTCCGCTAAACTTTTACAACTTTGTGATCAGCGCACCGGAAGGTGGGGACTGACCACAGAGTTCTGGAGCCAGTCATTGGTTCCTTTGCTGAAAATTGGGACGAAAGTAGGACTTGAATGGTACACAACTGCCGGCATTCACAAACACCAACAGGCGTCAAAAGAATATGAAATTATAACAGGGAACAAGAAATACGCTTTTAACATCAATCACGAAAATGAAGTTATGGTGAATCTGACCGTGCTTTATTGAACAAAATAAGTACAAAAGGAACAACAAATAACGTGGTTCTAAGACATGAATTTCGAGAAAGCATCAATTATATTTGTTGTCGCTTTGTGTTTACCGCTGTTGAAACGACCGAGATTGAAAAATAAAAGCTCTTTTTTCAGACCTTGATTTAAACTTATGTCAACCACTAATAGCTAGTTTGACGTTGTTTTTAGTTTAGTTTTTCATCTTAAATATAGGTACATAACTCGGAGGTATTTCTAAATATATAGGCAGCTGTTTGCTTTTTGTGGTCGTCCGAATAGTACCTGTATCATATAGATGTCTAAACATTAATACAGGATGAATATTGAAGTAACGCACTAAACAAGGTTAAGAAAATAACATTTTCTTTGTGATATTTAAGCACGACTATTATATAACCTACAGGTTAATAATTTAACGCTTTACTCCAAGAAATAGAGTCAATTTGCTATCATCTGTTTAAGTTGTAAGAGAAGACAATTATTTAGAAGTATTGCCTTATGCAGATTAAGAATTTTCCGGGCCAGCTCCTTCTTATCAACATCATACAACTAGTGCATAGCTACCTACGCTTTCTTCTTTTACAGAAATATTGGTCTCGGGATATGTTCTGCAGCAGCTCGCATAGGAGGAATGATTGCACCATATTCCAACATATTTGTAAGTATGAACTGTGTAACATAAACAGTATCTACCAGGATGCGTGTATATAGCTAACATGTCCCAGTACTCAGGCCTATATCTACACTAACTACCAGTACAATACCAAGTGTATATAGCTAACATGTCCCAGTACTCAGGCCTATATCTACCCTATGTACCAGTACAATACCAAAGCCAATATATCTACACTATCTACATGTACCAGTACTCAGGCCTATATCTACCCTATGTACCAGTACAATACCAAGGACAATATATCTACACTATCTACATGTACCAGTACTCAGGCCTATATCTACCCTATGTACCAGTACAATACCAAAGCCAATATATCTACACTATGAACCAGTACAATACCAAGGTCAATATATCTACACTATGTACATGTCCCAGTACGCAGGCCTATATCTACACTATCTACCTGTGAACTGTGTAACATAAACAGCATCTACCAGGATGCGTGTATATAGCTAAAATGTCCCAGTACTCAGGCCTATATCTACCCTATGTACCAGTACAATACCAAAGCCAATATATCTACACTATCTACATGTCCCAGTACGCAGGCCTATATCTACACTAACTACCAGTATAATACCAAGGCCAATATATATACACTATGTACCAGTACAATGCCAAGGCCAATATATCTACGCTATGTACCAGTAGAATACCAAGGCCAATATATGTACACTATGGACCAGTACAATACCAAGGCCAGTATATCTACACTATGTACCAGTCCAATAACAAGGACAGTATATCTACACTATGTACCACCACAATACCAAGGCCAATATATCTACTCTATGTACCAGTACAATACCAAGGCCAATATATCTACACTATGTACCAGTCCAATACCAAGGACAGTATATCTACACTATGTACCAGTACAATG